CCTAAGTTAATGGTAGACAACAACAGCTATTTTATTGTTTGTGGATTCTCTGGGATAGGAATTTGGAAAAGGCACAACAAAGATGAGACCCAAAGATGGAGGGAATCAATGATTGGGGTTTGGAGTCATCTGAAGGCCTGCTCACTTACTGTCTGGTAGTTCATGCTGACTCATGTGAGCTAACTTTGGCTTCCTCACAGCATGTCTGGGGTCCTGGTGTGGTGCGGTGGGTTAATGCACTGGACTGAAAGGTTGGTTTGAACTGCAAGGTTGGTGATTCGAGCTCATCAGCCGCTCCTTGGAAACCCAATACAGCTATGAGTTGGAACAGACTCAATGGCACTTAACAACCACAACAACATACCCAGAGAACCAAGAGGAAGCTGTATCACTTTTTATGACTTAGCCTCAGAAGTCACATAGCATCGTTTTCACCAGACTCATAGGCTCACTCAGATTCAAGAGGAGATAAGACAGAGCCCATCTTTCCTTGGGAAGCATCAAGATAATATTGTAAGAAGAGCATGTGAGGTGTGGGATCTTATTGCATTTATCTTTCTTGCCACAACTGCTCTTTCTAATAAATTCTTCACTTCTGTTTTCATAAACTGTATCAAATATTTACCAAGAACTAATTTTATGGAAGAGTGGATAAACAAAGTTTGGTATATAAACACATGGAATACTTTACAGTGTTATAGAATAATGAAGAATCTGCAAAATACTTAAACATGGTGAGAATAGTATGTTGAGTGAAATTAGTCAATCATCAAAGAGCAAACATTGTATGAGACTGTTATTGTAAAAAGTCAAGAGAAGGTTTTTACACTAAAAGAAACATTCTCTGATGGTTATCAGGGGTGGCAGGGAATGGGGAGTAATTCATGTTAACTTGGGTGACGAGAGAGGCAATAATAAGGGTTGTTGTTGTTATGTGCCATGGAGTCGGTTCCGACGGATAGCGACCCTGCACAGTGTTTCCGAGGCTGTAAATCTTTACGGGAGCAGGAAGCCTCATCTTTCTCCCCCAGAACAGCTGGTAGTTTCCAACTGCTGACTGTGAGATTAGCAGCCCGATTCATAACCACTATGCTACCAGAGCTCCTTAATGATAAGAGGGAGGTTAGGAAAAGAATGATGGAGGCATGGGAAAATCCGCAAGGGTGGGGATGCAAGAATGAAAGGCAACAGAGATTGGTATAAACACAGTCTGATCCTGCAATAACGGTGATCTGGTAGTGTAGTGGTTACCAGTCGGGCTGCCAACCTCAAGGTCAGCAGTTCGAAACTACCAGCGATTCCGCGGGAGAAAGATGAGGCGTTCAACCATTTCAAGAGATAGCATATGATCAAGAGCCAATGATACTGACGGAAAGAAGTCCAAGGTGCACTGAAGACATTTGCAAAGAACAAGGCCCTGAGAATAGATGGAATACAAATTGAAATCTTTCAATAAACTGCTGAAGCACTGCAAGCGCTCACGCAACTACGCCAAGAAATTTGGAAGACAGCTAACTGGCCAACTGACTGGAAGAGACCCATATTTGTGCCCATTTCAAAGACAGGCGACCCAACAGAATGCAGAAATTGTTGAACAATATTATTAATAAGACATGCAAGTAAAATTTTGCTAAAGATATTATTAAAAAATGACTCCAGCAAGTACGTTGATAGGGAGCATCCAGAGGTTCAGGCTGGCTTCCGACAGGGACATGGCATGAAAGATATCATTGCTGGTGTAAGATGGATTCTTAGCTGAAAGCAGAGAATACCAGAAAGATGTTTGCCTGTGCTTTATTGACTATACAAAGGCTTTTGATTGTGTGAACCAAGACAAGCTGTGGACAACATGCAGCATGACTATTCCGGAACACTTAATTGTGCTCATTAGGAACCTGTACATAGACCAAGAGGAAGTTGTTCAAACAGAGCAAGGATCACCCATGAATGGTTTAAAATTAGGAAAGGTGTGCGTCAGGATTGAATTCCTTCACAATACTTATTCAATCTGTATGCTGAGCAAATAATTTGAGAAGCTGGATTATATGAAGAATGTGGCATGTGGGAGGAAAACTCATTAACAACCTGCGATATGCAGATGATACAACCTTGCTTGCTGAAAGCAAAGAGGACTCAAAATACTTACCAATGAAAATCAAAGACCACAGCCTTTGGTATGGGTTGCATCTCAATGTAAAGAAAACAAAAATCCTCACAGTTGAACGAATAAACAACATCATGATAAGTGGAGAAAAGATTGCAGTTGTTAAAGACTTCATTTTGCTCAGACCAACCATGAAGAAATCAAACAACGTGCAAATCTGCTACACAAGGCCTCTTTAAAACGTTCAAGAGCAAAGATGTCAGTTTGAGGACTAAGTTGCCTCTGACCCAAGCCATGGTATTTCCAATAGCCTCATGTGCATGTGAAAGTTGGACAATGAATAAGGAAGAACATAGAAGAATTGATGCATCTGAGTTATGGTATTGGAGAAGAATATTAAAAGTACCATGGACTGCCAAAAGAACAAACCAATCTGTGTTAGAAAAAGTGCAGCCAGAGTGCTCCTAGGAGGCCAGGATGGCCAGACTTCATCTCTCATACTTTGGACATGTTTTCAGAAGGGCTAAGTCCCTGAAGAAGGACATCATGCTTGGTAAACTGGAGGGTCAGAGAAAAAGAGGATGACTCCCAACAAGATGGACTGATACAAAGACAGCAGCAATGGACTTGAGTCCATTGTAGGAACGATTGTGCAATTGGCACAGCGCTGGGCAGTGTTTCCTTCTGTTGTGCATAGGGTTGCTATGAGTCGATATCAACTTGACGGCACATAACAACAACATGTAACACTCTGGTATGTTTTATGACATTCATCTCAGCATTGGAGATGGCAGGTACACAGGAAGAGGATCCTGGAAGCTGGTACTGTAGTCTGGGTGCATGAGGAAAGTGGGATGTGTGTGTGTGTGTGTGGTGGTAAGTGGTCTGATTTAGGAAGTTTTTGCTGATGGATTGATTGGATGTGGGAGAAAGAGAAGAGTCAAGGATGACTTCACAAACAGAGTTGTCATTTTGAATTGGGAAAAAACATAGGGGAGGCAGTTTTCAAGGGAAAGATTGCACGTTAGATTGTTGTTGTTAAGTGCCGCTGTGTTGGTTCCAACCCATAGCGACCCTGTATAGGGTTTCTGAGGAGCAACTGGTGAGCTTGAACCACCGACCTTGAGGTTCAAACCAATTTTGCAGTCTAGCTCATTAGCTCACAGCACCACACCAGGATTCCTTATGACAGAACAGGGATGCAAGGAAGAAGAAGCATACCTGACACCCTTTACACCCATCCCAATGGTAACCACCAACAACCACAGGTAGAAGAAGGTAACTAAATAAGGAGACAAAAGATGAAAAGCCAATGAGCTATGAGAACTTTAGAAATGGGCATTTTAAAGAATAAATTCCCCTAGACAGCCATGATCGACTTCTGCAACATCTTGCTAAGTCCAGGAGAATTCCGGTGGCATGTTTGCTAACACTAACAGGCATCCAAATAAAGATGCTGACTAGGATGTATATAGCTGGAGTTCAGTATTTTGTTGTTAAGTTCCGAGGCTGTAAATATTTACGGGAACAGAACGCCTCATCTATCTGCCACGGAACCGCTGGTAGTTTCCAATTGCTGACCTTGAGGTTAGCAGCCCAGTTCGTAACCACTACGCTACCAGAGCTCCTTAGGTCTGTTTTAAGACTGAATCTGGGGATACAGATGGTATCCAAGGCTGTAAGACTGATGAGACAGGAAGGGATAAGAGTGTTGACAAAACTAGAGTGGATAGAGGAACAGAAGATCATAAAATGGGGAAGAGGAAGAACCAGCAAAAGTGACTGAAAAGCAGATAAAAAGACAGGGAGGAAGGAAATCAGGACAGTGGTTTTCTGAATCCAAGTTAAGAAAGTGTTTCAGGGAGGGGTGATCTGCTGGGTCACATGCTACTTGGTGAGAACCAAGACTCTGGTCATGTTGGTATTAATAAAGGCAGTTTCAACAACAAGGTGGGTGTAGCCTGATTGAAGTGGGGGTAGGTATGGGGTAAGGTCAGGAAACAGAAAGGAGATAAACATCTTTAGGAGTTTTACAGTAAAAAAGTGAACCTGTCCCCCCTCATCCAAAAAAAAAAAAAAGCTAAAGAGGATAGAGAGAAACACTGTTAACTGATGATATATGGAGGGGATAATAATCAATGTAATGAAACAAGCTATATGAATGGTTGAATGTGAAGCTGATGATGTGCCCTGTAAACTTTCACTCAATCCAAAATAAAAACATTTAATTTAAAAAAAAAAAAAAAAAAGTGAACCTACTAGAAAATGGGAGGGTGGCTGGAGAGGAGTGGTCACTTTTTTTTTTTTAAAGAGAAGCAATGAAAACATGATTGTATACAGATGAGCATGATACAAAAAGAGGGAAAAATTATGATATCGTAGAGGATGACGAGGAAGGAGATGAAGGGTAAAGAGCAACATTATACCCTCAAGAGAGTTACTTCCCTTCTCAGAAACTCAATTTATTTATCAGTAATTTAAGAAAAAGACTGCTTACTTAACTCTGGGTAATGTCTTTTAAGAATATGAAAAAGGATATGAATCGGTGCATAAATGTGAAGATTGGCAGTTTCTACAGTTAAAGAGGTGGGTAGGTGAATAAATGAGGCGATGTGAACTTGTGAGTTTATTAATCTCTACAATTTTCTCTGTAAAATCAGAAGCAAAGTCATTAGGCAAGAGTGAGGATGAGAAGGAACAGATGGAGGTTTGTTGAAAGTGGAGCAATGGTACAGTCCTGTAGAATTAAAGGCGGGCAAACTGGATGTAGGGATGTTACAGTTTGCCTTGCGGGATTAGTCCCTCCAGGCTCTCTGTAGTCCGAAACGCGTTTCCTTGGAGATTGCAACGCGACAGAAAACGTCTGGGAAGTTCTAGTGACTTGGGTAATTGCGCGATGCACATTGAGGAAAGGAGGCTGGATAGGCATCTCAGAAGATCAGGGCTCCGAGGATTGCAACGCTCCTTCCACGTTCCCCAATGGCGCGCAGCTTTCCAAAGTGAGTAAAAAGGAGCCTGGGGTAGTGGAGTACTCATGAGTAACCCCACCTCCTACTAATCTTGCATACGCCCTGCCTCTCTTCTGATTTCACCCCTCCTCGCCTACATCTTTGAAGCTCTGTCTCTTCTCTTTCTCTCCCACATTATTCCTCTCTGTCCTGAGTCAACTGCGGTTTCAGGTTCCAGACACTATGCATGTTTCAAGTTCCCTGGGATATGAGGTTGAAGTTCTGTCTCTTCACCCCCTACTCCCACTCTTTTCAGACCCGACCATTCTGGGATTACATCCACAATCCACAACTATCCGGCTCTGGTGAGTCTTGGCGGGATAGGGAGGTAGTAGGGGCTCTCTGACCTTGGGTCTGAACTTTGCATCCTCTCAACACACATGGCAGGTGATAAGAGTTCGGACAAGCTTCTGAATCTCGGTTTTTTTTTTAATCCTATTTCCCTATCAGAATATATTCCTTTGCTGTTCCATAAAGTTGGTAGCGTAGTGGTTACGAATCGGACTGCGAACCACAAGGTCAACAGTTCGAAACTACCAGCTGTTCTGCGGGAGAAAGATGAGGCGTTCTGCTCCCATAAAGATTTACAGCCTCGGAAACCCTCTGCAGGGTCTATGAGTCCGAACCGACTCCGCGGTACTTAACAACAACAACAAAGATTTACAGCCTTGGAGACCCTGTTACGGGGTCGCTGTGAGTCGGAAACGACTCCACAGCACATAACAACAATCTTTATAGAAGCCGATCGCCAGTCCTTTCCTTTGCCGTGCCACAGCATGGATTGAAAATGTTAGCCTTTAGACTAGTAACTGAGTGCAAAGCAGTTGAGCCACCCAGGTACAGGGTATATTATGCTGTTCCCTGAATGCTATTCTTACTTCCTTAATATAGATCTTGGGTTTATTTCCATGTCTTTGGTTTCTGACAGTTTTTGCACCTCACTACTTGCGTGTGCTGTGTAAATTGTGGCTGGTTGATAAAAAGTAATAGCTAAAATTTTTGGAGCACTTACCACATACTTTACAAATATTTCTGAGAATCATCACACCAGCCCCTGAAAGACGGTTTTATTAATTAATAAGTGTAGTTTACAGAGGAGGAAGTTGAGGTAAAGTCACAGGTATCTGTAATGGGTAGAACTGGGATATGAACCATTTGAACTACATGACTAACTGTGTTATTATGTCTGATAGGATTATGGTCAATGGCAGAGGCCTACTCAGAAAATGCAGTCTTCTACTCTGCCTCCAGTCCAGCCAACCAGCGGCCAGAAGAAAAACAAAATGAAAGACTTGGTTAATGCTCAGTCAGGTGGGCAAGGGACACTAGGAAGCTGATTTAGGGTTTGGGGAGAGCATGGAATAGCTATTCTTGACCTTGGTGATTTTATTTGTGTTACCTCCTGTAACTTTTTTTTTCAGTTGCTTCATGTTAAGCATTAGTGATTGGTACATGTTTTTGAATTATAGTATATAAACTGGTCTTTCCTGTTGTCAGATAGATACTTTCTGTCACTGACAACTTTGTACTTCAGGATGGATCTTAAAATGTTCTTTTTGACAATGAATCGGTGACGTGGTTCCTCTTCAATTTATCATTCTTGACATAGTAAACCTTATGACTGTCTGATTCAAAATGGTCAACACCAGTCCATTTCAGCTCACTAATACCTAGTATAAGGAGCTCTGGTAGTGTAATGGTTATGAATTAGGCTGCTAATCTCAAGGTCAGTAGTTCGAAACTACCAGCAGTTCCGTGGGAGAAAGAGGAGGCTTTGTGCTTCTGTAAAGATTTACAGCCTTGGAAACCCTTGCAAGGTCACTCACTATGAGTCGGAACCAACTCCATGGCACATAACCAACCACCACCAGTGTCTATTGTATTGATCTTTATGTGTTCCATTTCATTTTTGGCAACTTCTAATTTTCCTAGATTCACACTTTAATACTAGGGACATTCCATATCCCTAGTACTAAAGGATGTTTGCAGCTATTTCTTCGAATTTTAAGTCATGTCACATCAGTATATGAAGGTCTTAAAGGCTTGTTCCATCCACATCATTAAGGTTGACTCTGTATGAGGAGGTCATATTTTGAGTGCCTTCTAACCCAAGGAGTGTTATCTTTGGGCACTGTATCAGTGTTCTGTTGCTATTCTAAAGGTGTTCACTGGACACCTTTTTTTCAGTCTGAAGGGACTTCAAAAAGTTTGTGGAAAAATGGAATTAGAGATAATGGAAAAATTTCCCTTATATCTCTAGGTACTTCTTCTTAAACTTGTGCACTATGGCTAACCCTGCTGGCATTTGAAATACTGGTGGCATAGCTTCCAGCATCCCAGCAACATGTTGGTGGTTCAAATCCACCAGCGATTCCACAGGCGAAAGATGAAGCAATTGTCTTCTGGAAAGATTTACAGTCTAGAAAACCCTATGTTGTTGTTAACTGCCGTCAAGTCGGTTCTGACCCATAGCGACCCTGTACAGGGTTTCCGAGGCTGTAAATCTTTACGGGAGCAGAAATCCTCATCTTTCTCCGCAGAGCGGCTGGTAGTTTTGAACTGCTGACCTTAAGGTTTGCAGCCCGATTCGTAACCACTACACTACCAGAGCTCTTTAGAAATGGGGGCAGTATAAATCTGTTATATAATGCCACTGGCTCTCTAGGGTCTAGTCACCACAGCCCAACAAACTGAAAGATGAGTGGTGTTTTATTGACTAAACCGAGGCATTTGACTGTGTGGATCATAATGAATTATGGATAACATTGTGAAGAATGGTAATTCCAGAAGACCTCATTGTAGTCACGAGGAGCCTGTACATAGACCAAGAGGCCAGTGTTTGAACAGAACAAATGTATACTTCATGGTTTAAAATCAGGGAAGATGTGTGTCAGAGCTGTCTTCTTTCATCTATTTCTTTAATCTGTTTGCGGAACGCATAATTTCAGTGGTATATGAAGAAGAATGCAGCATCAGGATTGGAGGAAGACTCATTAAGAGCATGTGATATGCAGAGGACACAAACCTGCTTGCTGAAAGGGAAGAGGACTTAAGCACTGATGAAGAACAATGACTATAGCTTTCAGTATGACTTACACCTCAGCATAAAGAAAACAGGAATTCTCACAATTCTCGTTTAACCACCAACTTTGCAGTTCAGATCGACCATGACTCTGCAGCGCCACACCGGGATTCTGTATGAGTGTTAACCTATTTTATTAAAAAAATAAGGAGATTTTGGAACTTGGTTAATTAAATTCCTCTGTACCTCTTAAGGAGTTCTGGTGTGGCATTGTAGTGTAAGCACTGGATCTAAACATCAGTTTGAACCACAAGGTTGGTGGTTCAAACTCACCTACCGCTCCTCAGAAACCCTATACAGGGTCACTATGGGTTGGAACCGAATCGACAGCACTTAATAACAACGATATACCTTTAAGGAGTCCTGGTGTGGCGCTGAAGGATAAGCGCTGGATGGAAAGGTTGGTTTGAACCACGGCGTAGATGGTTCAAAGTCACCAGCTGCTCCTTGAAAATGCTATATTGGGTTGTGATGACTCAGAACCGACTCAGTGGCACTTAACAACAACATACTTTTTAAGGCACTGGTGTGGTGCCATGGGATAAGTATTGTACTGCTTACTGCAAGGTTGGCAGTTCAAACCCACCTGTTCCAACCGCCTGTATGGCACACAACATCATCAGACCTTTTTAAAGGAACCCTGGTGGCACAGTGGGTTAGGCACTGGGCTACTAACCAATAGGTTGGTAGTGGTGGTTCAAACACATAAGCCATTCCACAGGAGAAAGATGAGGCAGCTGAGTTCTATAAAGATTTAAACCTTGAAAACCTTATGGGGTAGTATAATTCTGTTCTACAGGGTCACTAGGAATTGGAATGGACTCAATAGCAGTGGATTTTTTAAATTTGTTTTGTTTTTAATGCCTTATTGTGAGTTATGTGATAGTTTACATGGGAGAACATTAGCTTCACACTGATCCCATCGTATATCGTTTCCTTGCCATGGTTACAATCTCCTCCATGCATCATCCACCAACCACAGGGTATACCCTGCAAGCCTAAATAGCAGTGGTTTTTGAGGCAAATAAAAAAGTTCATTGTATTTCATTTTCAAATAGTTCATTTGTCTGATTAACCAAGTCCACTAGGGATTTAAGTAATTCTTGTAAATCGAATAAATAAAGTAAATATGGATAATTTTATGTTTTTAAAAGAGTTCTCATAATGTATCTGCATAAACTTAATAAGACTGTCTTAAATTTTTCAACTTAAAACGAATAAAAATCAGAATCTAATTCACATACTTTAAATTAAATCCCAAATATATATATATATATGTAACACAAAATTAATGGTTTGACTTACTTCATCAACTTGATACTTAATATGAGACAATTATGGATATTGACCCACTAAGAAAGAAAAATAAGACAGGCTGAGTATCTTTCCCATGTGAACTGGGTTGCACTGATGAATTCTAAGTAGAGCTACAACTACCTAGGTGAATTGTCTTGTGTGTGTGCAAGACAGGTTAAGAGGAGGCTGGATTTTAAGACTGTCTTCCAAATTCTTTATTCAAATCTGAATTATTTTCTAGTGCTCCTTGCAAGGTTATATGCTCTTAGGGTTGTTTCAGAGACGTGCAATGAGTTTTGTCATTGGTGCTGTGTTCCCTGTTCCCAGGCCATTAGTTAATTCCTACCAATTATGAGTGTATAGCCAATGTATGTAAGTCAGGCACTATCACCAATTCTTTACTGGATAGTAACTGCTTATTTCATCTTCACAACATGGTTGTTGTTGTTAAGTGCCTTTGAGGCAGTTCTGACTCATAGAGACCCTGCATAGGGTTTCTGAGGAGTGGTGAATTTGAACCACCAACCCTGTGGTTCAAACTGACCCTTGTGGTCCAGTGCATTATCCCACAGTGCTACACCAGGACGCCGCTCATGACATGGTAGGTATGATTATTCCCATTTCACATGTTGGGGAAAGCGAGAGACAGAGAGATAATGTGACATGGCCAAGGCCACACAGCTCGTAGAAGGTAGACCCTGAATTCAAACCCAGTTTGTCTGGTGCTACAGGTTTGCTCTTTAATCCCTATTTCACCTGACCTTTCCACTGGTCAGTTTGCTGGGAGAGCAGGAATTTGGACTCAGGCCTGCTGGCACAGTTATCAGCAAGGCACAAGGAATGGGGGCTCCTGACTCTCTTTTGGATGGAAGGGTGGGAAGTGCTGCCTAGTTGTGTCCAGTACTGGTCCTCTTCTCCTCTCAGCACGTATTCAGTCCTTGCTTTTGTTGGGCTCAGAGTGGGGCCTCAGGAGCTTGTTGGGTGTGAAGTCCATGTCACGCTGTCATACCTTCTAGGGCTGTGAACAAGTGGGCCAGGGGCCTCTGCTCTGTTCCACTGATGGTACATTCCCTGGGGCATGACTCTAATCCTGTCTGAACTCACACCCTCTTCTTGTCCTTCTCCATTTAAATCCAGCATTGTTCTCCAAGTCCATTGTATCGGGGACTAGCCACCTGAGGAGTCAGCAAGATCCAAGCAGAGGGGAGAAGTTGGACTCTGGGAAGATGCAGGCCAAAATCCGACTAATGAGGGTATGGGGGCCCGAGTACTGGGCTGGCTATGACTACAGGAAACATACACAGAACCCTTCTTGGGGGTCAAGATGGACTTAACTTCTTCTTCATAGCAACCCTGTAGGCATGATCATCATCATCCCTATGATACAATGGGGGAAAGGGAAACTCAGGGAGATAAGTGACTTCCTTCAGGCCACAGAGCCAGGAAATGGGTACTAGTGATCAAAACCAGTTCAACAAAGCTTTTGCTGTTGTTTACAAGACTCAGGAAAAGGATCAGAATCATATTTTATTTCACTCCGTTAGGAAAGATCTAGTAGCTTGAACATCTTAAAATTGCCAGTAAATTCCCCTGCCCTGGAATGCAGTGCTCTATAAAGATGGGATCACTATTTAATTTTCCACATTAACTGATATAATTTTAGATCATTTTCTCATGTATTATTTTATGACTTCTATAATTTTCTGAACAATGCTTCAGTGTTATTGGAATGACAAAAAGAAGACCGGTTTTTAGAGTCCATAGTAGAAAGTAAAATACTAAATATACAACAAAAGAACATAGAAAAATTCTGGATTTCTCTTAAGAAATTTTTAGTAGCTCAGTGAAGAATGACTACTATATAAGAAAATAGGAAAATTATATTTGCTTTGAAACTTTTTTTTCTTCAACCTTCAGGTTTGCTGGCAAATGGTTGCCCAGCATTCAGAAGGGAACTCACACATATCTGAATATGTGCATACATATTTAGGCATACAGTTTACTTTAGTTATTATTGAGAATGTACACAGCCAGACAGACACCAAGTCATACATATTTAGGCATACAGCTTACTTTAGTTATTATTGATAATGTACACAGCCAGACAGGCACCAAGTCACCAGTTTCTACCTGAAGGATGCAGTGACAGCGATGACATTCTTTAAATTGTACAATCATTCCCACTCTCCTTTTCCTATTTCTTCCTCCTCCATTAACATAAACTCCTGGCCTTCGAAGGTTCCTATCTTTCAAGTTGCTGTTGTCAATTTGATCCCTTACACCTAGATCTTAAAAGACCATAATACTCAAGGTAGAAAATCTTTACTAGTTAAGTTAAACTATTGTTTGGTTTTAAGAAGAGATTGTTGTTGTTATTGTTATGTGCCGTGGAGTTGGTTCTGACTCATAGTGACCCTGTACAGGGTTTCCGAGGTTGTAAATCTTTATGGGAGCAGAAAGCCTCATCTTTCTCTCGCGGAACAGCTGGTAGTTTAGAACTGCTGACCTTGCGGTTCGCAGCCCGATTTGTAACCACTATGATACCAGAGCTCCCTAAGAAGAGATTAGGGGACGTTTTTATGTAAGGCTTACCGACGATCTCGGGGCAATAGTTTCACGGGCTCATCCAGCCTCCATGGCTCTAGAAAGTTTGTATTCTAATAGGATTGAAATTCTGTTTTGCATTTCCCCCTCTTTTGATTAGGAGTCTACCATAGAATCTTTAAATCAAAATAGAACTCATTTTTATTTTTTGGAACTCATATTTTTGATGTTATTTCTTCCTGATTTTTTTTCAAAGTATATGATTTGTTTAATTAAAAACGGATGGTCTTGTCTGTAAATCTTCACTTAATTTACAATATAAAGTTTTTTAAAATAAAAATAACAGAAATCTATGATGTCACATTTCTGGTGGCTGAAATTAAGGTGTCAGGAAAGCCAAACTCTGGAGGTTGTAGGGAAGAATCCTTCCTTGCTTCTTCCTCATCTCTTATGGCTCAGAGCAATCCTTGGTGTTTCTTCATTTATATCTTCATCATTGCAATCTCTGCCTCTGCCTTCACATGATGTTCTCTTCTAGATGTTGCAAATACCCAGGAAAATGGAGAAGGAGTTGTCATCTGTAGAATTCCAAGCATGAGAAAACTCGCATCTGTTGTGATCCCCTTCAAAATTGAAAGTGGTAGCTGGGCCCCATATAGTGCTTCTGTTTCCAGGCTAGTAGAGACTGTGCTTTGTGTCCTTTTAAAAGGACGTTGCTGGTTTCCCTCAAAGCAGATTGCCAGGACTTTCTTCTGAGAGGTCTCTGGGAGGGTTCAAATGCCAACTTATGGGCCAATAGTTGATTGCTTAACTGTTTGTAGCACCCAGAGACTCTTTTAAAATGATACACTTTTCCAATCCACATCCCTAACTCCTTCTTGGAAAGCCATGGCCATCAATCACTCAGTATTGATTCCGTGTTACTGATGTGGTTAGTTGTCATTGAGCTGGCTCAGATTCATAGTGACCTTATATATAATAGAACAAAGTATTGCCTGGCTCCATGTCAGCTTCATGATATGTTTGAATCCATAGTTTCCCTCAGACTTGCTGACCATCTACTTTCATTATGTCCTTTTCTAGAGATTGGTCCTGTGAGCTCCTCCTGATTTTTAAAAGGTGGTTTATGTGTTTTTGTTTGGTAAAGATCGTGAACTTGGACAAGTTGACTTCAAAATCTGAGCTCCTAACCCATTCCTAACATTGTCTCATAATCATTCATTCATTTAGTTACAACAAATATGAGGGGGCTTCAAAAAGTTCATGGAAAAATTACATTGTGTTTTCATTCCACTTTTCCATGAACTTTTTGAAGCCCCCTTGCATTTATTGAGCATCTACAGTATGCCAGATCCTATTCAGAAGTGCACATTCAGCCATGAGAGCTCACATTCTACTGGGAGAGACAGACAATGACCACGACAAGTAAATATATAATGTGTGTAGTGATGATACGTGCTGTGAAGAAACATAAAGCTTAGGAGGCTAAACAGGGACAGAAGAGGGATTGGTAGTGACTGTTTTAGAGAGGCTGGTTAGGGAAGGCTGCTGAGATCTGAAGGAAGTGAGGAAGCAGCTATGTGGCTCTCTGAAGGAGGAATGTTCAGGTAGAGGGTATTGTACATTCAAGGGCTGTGAGGCCTGTGTTGGCTGCAGCAGGTGAGTGAGAAAGATGGGAAGCTGTCGGGGGTGGGTGATGGGGACAATTGGTCTACGATTAAACCTTGTGTTTTCATGCTGAGTATGGCTGGAGGTGTCTTTGGGCTGTTGCTGCCAGGCACGGTGCCAGATACAGCTGTCAACAAGACACTTAGTTCCTGGTGTTAGGGAGCTTACGCTTAGGAGGAGGACACATAGGAAATGAGTTCAACCCACATTTACTATGTTCCAGGCACCAATGTATGTGCTGGAGATGCGGCTGTGGCCAAACTATCAGAATGCCTGCTTGCCTGGGCATGACATTCTAGCTGGGGGAGACAGACAAGAAACAAGGTAGTAAGAAAGATAGCGACTGTGTCAGATGGCGGCAAGTCTTGGAGAAAAAGAAATTAGGGAAGGCGGAGACGATTATAAATCGTAATTACATAATTACACATTGGGATAAGGAGCAGGACTGAAGCAATGCAGAGTTTCAGCATTATATCTGGTGGTCAGAGAAGACCCCTTCTAGACTTCATTGTTGTTAACTGCCATTGAGTTGGTTCCAACTCATTGCAGTCCTGTATAGGGTTTCCAAGGAGCGGCTGGTGGGTTTGAACCAGGGACCTTTTGGTTAGCTGTCCAGTGCTTAGCCTACAGTGCCACACTAGCAGTCCACCTCTCTAGAGCCGTTGTTATGTGCCGTGGAGTCGTTCTGACTCATAGCGACCCTGTATAGGGTTTCCAAGGCTGTAAATCTTTACAGGAGCTTTAGAAAGCCTCATCTTTCTCCTGTGGAACAGTTGGTAGTTTCGAACTGCTGACTTTGCGGTTTGCAGTCTGATTCATAACCACTATGCTACCAGAGCTCCTCCTCTCTAGAGCAGAGGTCATTAAATTATGCTATTTATCAGAATCACCTGGGAGTGGAGTGTATATTGAAAATACAGATTCTTGTACTAGGCCCAGGAATACTGGGCGTATTGAGTATTTTTCACATTTTGAGATATTTTGGTCTGGCGATTCGTGGGCTATTTAGTGGAGTGGATAAGAGTCTAGACTTTAGTGACAACAGCTCTGGTTTGTGGTCAAGTTACTGAATCTCTTTGGACCTCAGTTTCTGCTTCTGTAAACTGGGGCTAGCAATGGTGTCCAGTTCACAGAGTTACTATAACAATGAAACGCAGTAATGCACATAGTAAGTGCTCAATTATTTGAGATACAGTGTTATTCTTCTAAGAATGCTGGTGGCGCTGTAAAATAAGTACTGGACTGCTAACCGTAAGGTCGGCTGTTTAAACCCACCAGCCACTCCCTGGGAGAATGATGAGGCTTTCTGCTTCTGTAAAGATGTGGTGTTACTGGTGACTCATAGCGACACTGTGACAGGCTTTCTGAGGCTGTACATCTCTCTGGGAACAGGAAGCCTCATCTTTTTCCTGTGGAACTACTGGTAGATGATTTGAACTGCTGACCTGGTTGATAGCTGCCCAGCTCATAATCTTCTTTGTTACCAGGGCTTTCTCACAAAGATTTACAGCCTTGGGAATCCTGAACCAGGTCCCAATGAGTCAGAATTGATACTCTGGCAGTGAGTTTGGTTATTCTTATGTGGGGAATAAAGGAGCCAGGGGCTAGGTAGGGGCTGTTGTTGTTCAATACTGTGGATTCAGCTCTGATTCATAGCAACCCTGTGTAGGGTTTCCAAGGAGCAGCTGATGAGTTTGAACTGCTGACCTTCTGGCTAGCAGTCTAGTGCGTATCCTACAGTGCTACATCAGGAGTCAAGGAAGGGGTTATTGTTGCTGTGAAGTGCCATTGAGTTAGTTCCCACTCATAGCGACCCTGTGTAGGGTTTCCAAGGAGTGGCTGGTGAGCTTGAACCACTGACCTTGCAGTTTAAACTGACCTTGCATTCCAGCTTACTAACCCACGGTGCTACACCAGGACTCCCCAGGAAGGGGTAGTTGCTGGTAGTGAAAGAAATTAGGACGAACTGGAGGAAGAAATTTGAAGAAAGGAAAACCAAAGAAATTAGGAAGAACGGAAAGGAGAAAAAAGAAAGCAAATAGGTGTGGCAGGGGTGGAGGGTGAGCCTTAGAGAGTCGTCACTGAGGGCACCCCACATCGTATTCTGTCATCTCGCATAATCTTTAAAGCAGCTCTCTGATGTAGGTATTCCTTTCCTCACTTTTAGAATGACTATAATAGGGCTTTAGGGGCAGTGTCGGATTACCCAATAATCAAGGTAAGCACAAACTTTCTTGTGTATGCCTACTAATCTGTAGTGAACAATTTCACAATTTTTTGTCATACAAAGCTGCTTCTAGGACTGGCTGGCATCTGCCTTTCTCCCAACCCCCACACCACAGCACCTTCCTACAGAATCCAAGTCTCTTTTCAAATTTAGATCCCTGGCAGGGATGGAGTACACAGTTAGCAAGGTAAGCATAGATTTACTTGTGCTTATTTACTTTATCTTATTCACTATGGATAAGTAAGCACAAGTAAGCTCATGCTTACTTTGTTTATTGAGTAAGCCACCCATGGGGGCGGTGATTTGCTTAGGTTCACTTAGATCAGAGGTAGGGAACATCCTCCCCACGGGCTATATAGTTGTTAAGTGCCATTGAGTTAATTCCTACTTGGAGGGATCCTGTATAGGGTTTAAGAGGACTGGCTGATGGGTTTACAATCACTTCAGACTAATGATGCTGCCCAGTGCTTATCCTACAGTGTCATACCAGGATTCCCAGCCATCACACTGCTGTTAAATACCATCAAGTCAGTTCCCACTCATAGAGACCCTGTATAGAGTTTCCAAGGAGTGGCTGGTGAGTTTGAACTGCTGACTTTGTGGTTCAAGCCAACTGTGAAGTCCAGTGCTTTATCCCACAGCGCCACATCAGGACTCCATGCAAATAAGATTGTTGTTGTTAAGTGCAGTTCCGACCCATAGCAACCCTGTATAGGGTTTCTGAGGAGCAGCTGGTGAGCTTGAACCACCAGCCTTGTG